CTGCTGAACACAAAACAAAGAACCCACATAGGACAGGCAGGCATTAGTTAATTTATATCACTAGGAGAGACTAAGCATCAATAAGAGAAAGAATGAACCGGTCTATGTAGGCATAACTTTACATTGGACCCTGGCCTTAGATATTGCCATCTTTACTCAAATTAGTAAACAGACATTACCAACAATTAAAGCACACCAACTAGGAAGAACGATGAAGTTTGAAATGAGCTTAAATTAAAGGCAAAAAAGGTGTACACTTAGGAAATACAACCATATTTTAGCCTGGAGTCTAGCCTCTTCCTTTGCGTAGTTAACATATTCAAGTCTCAATACATTTGTGTTTTCAAGTTGCCTAATGTAAGAACTTCACATAATGATAAAAATAATTATTTAAATCATTCACTGATGAATCCTATTTCCCCCCCCCCCTTTTTTTTTGAGAGGTTTTTGCTATAGGGTGTGTGCGCTCTCCAGAAAGGGAGCGAGACAAACAGAAAACAAGAAATCACCCCCCAAAGGAGATGGCCACGCCGCAATTCCTTCTCCTCCATTCTCCTCTCGGGATCTTGGGCACACATGTACATGTGCCCGGAGTGAGTCTAAGCCACCAGGTCCGGGACACAAGCTGTGGTCAACTACATGGGAGTCCAGTGACATAGCCATTATGCTAACTGCTGGTCCCACATCGTATATTTTTTGAAGACCTAAACAGTAATTTAAAAAGTCATCTCTAGACATGATTTTGACTTCCCCATATACTATGAAATGAAGGATAAACGCCAAGACAAAAAAAGTAATTTTCAAGGTAAGAAAAGGAAACTTGTGTTCTGATGTAACTCAAACCTATCTACTACTGACTTACTAATAGTAAAACAAATACATCAGTATGCACAAAAGGGGATAGGAAAGATTAAGAGCACGCGCTTGGGGTCCATCTGTAGAGGCCTACATGCAGGCTTCATGGCCCAATAACAGCGCTGTCACCTTGCCAACTTACTTCACTGCTCAGTGTCACCGCTTTCTCATTTGTAAAATGGCAATAAAAATTACACTTAACCTCACAAGGATGGTAAGGCTTAAATGAGACAATCCAGATCATGTACGCACAGAGGGAATGAACTATTATTGGCATTCCATACACGCAAGTACACTGGGAGAATGGCAATGAACTAGGATGAATCAGGCATGGGTGGACCCAGATCTGGCTCTGCACTGAAGGAGGAATCCTACTGACAATAACTAAGCCTCTTAGGCCACACTTTAGCAGTCAGAGTGAGAAGGCTGTCCTTTTGAATGCTAATACCCTGTTACCACACACATGCTAGCATTTCATTTTTACCCTTCCGAAAGCACTTTTTCATACCCATCATCTCATCTGATCTTCCCAAATTCTCTAAGTGGAGAAGATAGCACTATTTCTATTTTCCAGATGAGGACAAACTCAAAAAGGCGGAAGTAACGACTACTCAATATCCTACAGAAGCAGTTAAGACCTCACTGGGGACGGGCCTCACAAGCCTGAGCAATGCTACCACCGAGTCTACCATGATAAACAGAGAGCAGATTAAACATCTTTCAACTAAAGACACCTGGCAATTCTCTCTCAAATACCTGAAAGGGGAAAGAGGAAATCAAATGTGCAGAATGCCTAGTCTCTTGAATTTGAACTGCAACTTGAATAGGCTTTTCATTTCAACAGAAACAGCAAAAGAACTGGTTTGGTATGGGAATAATTTTGATTTCCACATATTATCTACATTGTCTCACCTTTGCATAAAGTGCAGTTCTTTGACTCCTGATAGGTCAGGGAAGAATACTCATGGAATTCATGTTTCTAATTTTTGCATCAGTCTTACATAAAGCAATCATAGATAGCTTAGAATAAAATGTTCAAAACATTTTCTTTTTGGCTAATGTTTAAAGTTCTTTAAAAAAAAGTCAGTAATTCTGAACATCATTTAGTAAATGTAGAAGTTAACATGTGACTAATTTTTTGAAATGGCAAACTAACCGCCCACCTGACAGTTGGTCTGATTACACTAGAATTACAAAATGAACAATTAGGAAAACATTACGTTACAAATCA